GGATTAGTAATTCAAAGTGAAGTGCATGGGCATTCACAGCAAGCTCAAGGGGGAAAACCATCAAGGAGATGAATGGTGCCTTTGCTGTTACAGCTAGTACTTTTACAATAGAAACTATGGCTGTAACAAGGGCATTATCATGGCGTGGTACTCAAGAGTTCACACATGCGCGAATACTTATTGACTCGAACATGCTTTAAAAAAAATCCAAGCTGGTTTTATCAGGCAAGAATGAATCTCAACACTAAGCACTTCGTGAATGGCCACCCTAACCTTCATCTTTGTGCCAGGTCATGTAAGTGTTCAGGGAAATGAGTGTGCATATTATCTTGCTGACGAACTGGGACATGTGAGGTAACATGAACACACACACACACACCAGTGGGGCCAAACAATCAGAGACTGGGGAGATAAACACACACACACCAGTGGGGCCAAACAATCAGAGACTGGGGAGATAAACACACACACACACACACCAGTGGGACCAAACAATCAGAGACTGGGGAGATAAACACACACACACACACACACACACACACACACACACACAGACTTGGTGAGTGGTGCCAGGAATCAAGAGCTCATGTGAACCCGTCCAAAGCCTCCTTAACATGGTTCTCTCTGAATACCCACATCGTGAGTACACCAACGCCAGTCGTAAGCATCTGTGGTGTGGACATCGAGAGAACGGACACCATGAAATACCTGGGCATGACATTTGACAGATGCTTGTCATACAAATGCCACGTAGACAACGTCTTACTTAGAGCCAGGAAAGGTTTGACAGCACTCAAGGTGCTAGCAGCAGCTGATATTGAACAACGTCTACTTTTCCTTCTCTATCAAGGGCTTGTGCTTAGCGTCATTGACTATGGTCTCGGTCTCCTCACTGTCAGCAAAACCCAGCTAGAAAGACTGGACCGAGTACAGAATGAGGCCATGAGACTCATACTCGGCTGCACAAAAGACACCTCCTGCAACGCCATGCGTTATATCCTGGGTCTGCCGACCATGACAAGCAGATACAAAGTGGCACAGGTCAAGGCTTACATGAGGGTATCGGCAGATGTTAACCACCCATTACACAAAGCTATTCACGACACAAAAGGAACGCGTCTCAAAAGGGGCCGCTCTTGGATGGCAAAGGCTGAGGACTTAATCCAGCAGGTATGTGACCTAGACGTGATCAGCCACGGAAAAGAATGGACGAATACACCAGTAGACATGCATGGCATTTCTAAGGTTGTCATCACACTCGGAAGGTACTGCAGGGATCAAATTCCTGCGGCCGTAGACACAGAAGTAAGGAACTGATAGATCAGCATTCAGACCCAGAAGATACCATCGTCTACACAGATAGATCAGTGAGGCGCGGATCAAGGTCAACATGTGCATACACAGAGCAAAGAAGGGGTGAAACAATGCAGGAGGAAAGCGGCGCTTTCCAGACAACCACGTCAAGCATGACAATGGAAATAGCTGCTGCTTCTAGAGCTTTAGCATGGGTATCCGAGCAAACCGCCACATAGGCAGTTATTGAATCAGACTCCATGAATATGTTTCAGAAGATAGCAACAGGCAGTATGCGCTCTGAATGGATAGAAAGCATCAGGAAATCGCACTTAACCTCCGTAACCTGGATCTACACACCGGGTCATGCGGGCGTGAAGGGAAATGAGCGAGCAGACCAACTGGCAAGCACTGCACTAATGATTGCAGGAAAAAGTATGGACAGAGCAGACATAGTCAACGCTGTACGAACCGGGCTAGTGGAGAATGAGGAATCCCTGACACTAACACGATTGCGGGACATGGGAGTTAAGCATGGTGATGCACGTCTTTGCCGTCTTCGAGGCCGAGAAAGGAGACAATATAACCAGCTTCTCATGGGGACAATTAGTAGAAGTACTTTAGAGTGGCTGCTGCTTCGGAGAACTGAGCACGCATGGGTATGCCCAATGTGCAGTGACATTAATTGTGATAACAGAACATAAAATAACATCTTAGTAGGGAGTCGGCAGTACGAAACCCAAGTTCAAGGTGTCTCCTTCGTGCCAAAGAACTGCATGGCTGTTGGGTGAACAGTCGTTAACGAGGGCAGGCAGGTCGTTGTAGGGGCGACGCCTACTGGTGGATGTAATGTCCTAAGTCCCTTCCCCAGCTAATAATGAGGGTACTGCTGGGGTGACCGTTTATTAACCCTCATATAATTCTTCCGGTCAAAATGGACGCTAGGTACGGCCACCTTTTTTTTTTTTTTTTTTTTTTTTTAAAGCCGTGGCAAATATTTTTCCAGACGGTGGCCGTTGCATTTTTGCTCCATTTGTAGACTGGAAGGATGTAGTTTCGTCGCCCAGCTTCTGAGTTGAGTGCATGGCGTGACACTGTGAGCTGCGTTTGTTTTTCGTTGGCACAGGAGCGGAGCATGTGTGGGGTGACCCGTTTGCTATGAAGCTGAAACTAGGATTACCAGATTACCAGATTACACACACACCAGTGTGGCCAAACAATCAAAGACTGGGGAGATAAACACACACACACCAGTGGGGCCAAACAGTCAACGACTGGGGAGATAAACACACACACACACCAGTGGGGCCAAACAATCAAAGACTGGGGAGATAAACACACACACACCAGTGGGGCCAAACAATCAAAGACTGGGGAGATAAACACACAAACAAACCAGTGGGGCCAAACAATCAAAGACTGGGGAGATAAACACACAAACAAACCAGTGGGGCCAAACAATCAAAGACTGGGGAGATAAACACACAAACAAACCAGTGGGGCCAAACAATCAAAGTCTGGGGAGATAAACACACACACACCAGTGGGGCCAAACAATCAAAGACTGGGGAGATAAACACACACACCAGTAGGGCCAAACAATCAAAGACTGGGGAGATAAACACACACACTCACACATACACACACCAGTGGGGCCAAACAATCAAAGACTGGGGAGATAAACACACACACACACACCAGTGGGGCCAAACAATCAAAGACTGGGGAGATAAACACACACACACCAGTGGGGCCAAACAATCAAAGACTGGGGAGATAAACACACACACACACCAGTGGGGCCTAACAATCAAAAACTGGGGAGATAAACACATCCTTTTATATATAGTTTATATGATATCGGGAGATGCCGTGGTGTAGCAGCTAGAAGTTCCTGTAGATCCGCAGGTTCAGATTCTGATGGAGACAGACTTTGTGTGTGTGCAAAAAAAAAAAAAAAAGACTGGCTCTTAGGTTGACGCTGCCTTAAATCGGTACCAGGTAAAGCCATGGGAAGTAAAGGTGGCCAGGGAGATGCTGACCACATCGCCTATCTAGTACTAATTGGTCTGTAAAATTTAGCTTTAGCCCTATGTGCCCAATATGCCTGAAGGTGAGGAAAAAGGTCCTTTACATTGCCTTTCTACATATGTGTTTTCCGTGTGGGTTTCAGAACCCATTTTAGAGGAACCCCCCCCCCCCCACACACACACACACACACACACCTCCCTCCCCAGAACAAGGATGTCACAATAGACAATATTATGGATACTTCCTTTGAAGTCGGAGTACATTTGCCTTGAGAGGCCAGGAATAAACAGTCTGCAGGCAAGTAAGCAAATCTGTAAAAACAGATGTGCAAGCAAAGTTCAAGTTCTGGAATAGAATTCAAGTCTAGAAGTGGACGAACAACCAGAACTTTTCCCGGGTGTTTACAGCTGGTGAACGCTGAGAAGAAGGAGATAAATATTTAATTGTGTTAACTTATCCTTGACATCCAGGAAACTGTAACAGGTAGAACTGAGTGGAGGAACAGACTGCGAGCCTTATGTAGCATACAAACAGCACACAGGATAGTCCCATGCCACGACTGGCTTCTTCTCATATTACTAAATGTAGCATCATATATCTTCTTTCAATTAAAATCTGATGAACCGGGTTTTCTTCACAAATGTCCTTGGCTCCCAGGTCAACCCAGCCTGGAGTTGTCAGCAGGTTCAGTCCTGGGAAGTAAAGGTAGCCAGGGTGATACTGACCATATCACCCACCAAGTGCCAATAGGTCAATAGAATACAGGTCTAGCCCTATATGCCCAAAACGCCTAAAGGTGTGAAAAAAGGTTTTTACTTACATAAAATCTACAATTTTTTACTTTGTTTTTCGATCACAGCCAGTTATATATAAATTAACACAATATATCCAAATAATCTTTTGTTTTCTTTTATTTTCTTTACACTTGTTTATTACATAATTATTCAACTTATTGTCAGCAGCCATCTACTAGTTCATTTTAAGACAAAATTAAAAAATTAAAGTTTCTTGTACGGAACTGTGCATTTCACTATTCTACACATGTCCAAGATAAGAAGCTGCATATACGATAGAGGGTAAACTGTCACAAAGGCGGTGCTGATGCTGTTTTGTTAATCTTATCATTGCAAAGTGAAACAAGGAGAATGGATATAATTTATAAATTAATGGATCAAACTTGAACTGTAACAATTTAGGCTATTAGTAATTGAAAACATGTTTTTCTTTAGACTTTCATCAAGTTTATTTACACATTTTTTTTACGTCTGTTTCATTTTAATATAAAAGTAAGTAAAGATCCCTTTTCATTCCTTTAGGCGTATCCTGCATATGGGAAGAACGCCCATATTTTTACAGACCATCGGCACTAGGTGGGTAATGTGGTCAGCATTACGCCGGCTGTCTTTACTTCCCCAGGACAGCCATCCTGGTACCCATTTTAGGCTGAGTCGACCTGTGACCCCCCATATGATAAAAATCCACACAGCCAGCAGTGGGTTTCGATTGCGGCTGTTTAATTTTACACAATATTAAAACGACGAACGACTAAAAACTTTTTGAAGCAGCTTTCCTACTACTTTAACTTACCAGCCACCAGTGGTACTATTTTAACTCATTCAAAACCAGATTCTAATTATAAAATAAATAAGATAAACTTTTTGCTCATATCAAAAGAGTTAATATGCAATTCTGCTTTGATCCAAACTGTAGAATCCGACCGGTGCTGGTGCTCCGCTGTGATATCCAAGTGGTGGGGCCCCACCAGGGTAATCCGAGGTGGCACTGACCCTTGTTGGGAAGCCAGAGGTCCCAGGGTATGACCTAATCTGGGTGTACGGGATGTCTGGTGGGTAGGCATATGAGGGGTGACCTGTGTAAATAGAGGGAATTAATCCTTGTTCAGCCGCTGGAATAAGACGGACCTTGCCATGACCCTGAAACAAATAATGATCATTCAGAATACATTCTGTCATTATCATTCTTTCATCATCTTTTTATTATTTTTTTAAATTATTACTGTTATTATTATTATTATTCAGCATTCCAAGCCCTTGTGGTCCATGGCTGATAATTCAGGATGTTTTGTCATTATTATACCGTCTTCTACTTCCTCCTCTTCTTCTTCTTCTGCTTCTTTGTTGTTGTTTTTTTTTTTTTTTTTTTTGCTTCGTTTTCTTCTTCAGCATTTCAAGCCTCTGAGGTTCATTGTTGAAGAGATCACCCACCTCCATTCAGCTCTGTGATTGCCCTTCTCTTACCAGCTGATGACTTTGTAGGTCTGCCTGGATATTATCCCCCCTCTTGGTCAGTCTGATGGTCGACAGACATTCAACTCCCTTGTGTACAGTTTCTGCCTCTCTATCATCAGACATTCTCTCTGTATGCCTCAGCTATTTCAGTGTGGGTTCCAGGCCCCTATTATAGGGAAAACAAGAATAGAGCCACTGCAAACCCAAAAGCATGTCGTAAGAGTCGACTAATTGGGAGCTTTTTTCAAAGTCAGAGTGCATCTGCCTGAGAGGCAATCAACAGTCTGCATACACATTAGTCAGATCTGACAAATGGATGCACACACAAGACTCAGGTTCTGGTACAAGACTGGAGTCCAGAAGTGGACAAACAATCAGAACTAATAGGGAGCTTCCTTTGAAGTCGGAGTGCATTTGCCTGAGAGGCAAGGAACCAACAGTTTGCATTCAAATTAGTCAGATTTGTCGAACAGATGCACACGAAAAAACTCAGGTTCTGGAACAAGACGGCAGTTCAGAAGTGGACGAACGATCCAAACTTTCCACCGTAGTTTACAGCCGGTGAACGCAAAGAAGAAGAAGAAGTATCTTAGCCAGCCAGTGATTAACAGCGATTTTAACAAATTATGAATTCGTTGTTGCTTCTCATTCCCCACTGTATGCATCTTGGATGGGTCCAAAAACTGTTGGGAAAAAAATGTGTAATAAGCTTAATTTCTTTTAGTTGCACTCCAGGCTATTCATTTGTCTACCTATTAACTTTTCTCTCCATCTGTAAAAGTGTGCACAAATAAAATGATTTATCTATTTATCCACCCATTATTCACGAAAGGAGCATCCATTGCGGTGTCAGCCTCTTGACCTAGCAAAACCTCTCTTACCTCAAGACTATTGTGCGTGGTGAAAAATCACAGCCTCCCCGAGGTAGTCCTGGTAACTGGGGGTGCGAATCCCCAGGCAAAACACAATGGATCTGGAGGAGCAAAACTCGATAATAAACCCGGTGCACCACACCGTACTGCCCCCTGTGGGAGGGAAGGAGCCGGAGGTGTGCTGAACAGTCTTAGGAATTGAAACAAGTATGCTAACCCCCTGAATACCGGAAACTATCGTGAAGGCACAGGGACTCAGGACGTGACGATCCAGTTGCCCCTACTCATGCTTAGGTCATGCTTAAAGCCATGAAGAGCTCAGCGAAACCAGCAGGCAATCTGGTGGCGGGGAATGAGCACACTGTGAGCCCCACCTTAGCTACGTGTTAAAGGGGAAGGCAGAAACACAACCCATATTTCCTTTAGAACTGGTACAGGGCATTTCTAGCTGCTGCCCGGGGAGGTAGGTAATCCACAGACACCCCAGCACCACAATGCCATGAATATGTCACTACATGGCATTGGGCCAAAGGGCGAAAGCTCATGCACAGCTGGATCGATAACAACAACAAATCCACCCATTAACCTATCTATTCATTTCTCTAAACTTTAACTTCTTTGTCCATCTAAAAAAAGTATGCATAAAGAAAATTCAATGCCTGGCTGTCTATTTTTCTGCCCATTAACAACTATCTATTCATTTGTCTACACTTCAACAACTTTTCCATCGAAACAAAAATTGGTATAAAAAAAATACAATGCCTGGCCGTCTATCTACCCAGTAACCTATTCATTCATTTGTTTACATGTATTATTTCTGTCCATCTATAAAAGCATGTATACAAAACATTCTTTTGCTGCTTGTCTGTCCATTAATCTGTCTATTCATTTGTCTACATGTCCTTTTTTTTTATCCAACTATTAAAGTATGTATAAAGAACATTCATGCCATGGCCATCTATCTGTCTGCACAGTAACCTATCTATTCATTTGTTTACATGTCCCTTTTCTATCCAACTATAAGATTATGTATAAAGAACATCCAATGCCTGGCTGTCTCAGTTTTGTTGCCCATTAACCTGTCTATTGATTTGTAAACATATCAACCTCTCTGTCCATCTGTAAAACTATGTATAAAGAACGTACAGCTGCTGAATCCATCTGTGAGGCAACATCTCCGTACAAATTTATCTGTAATGGTTTGGCTTGAGTGTTAAGACCTCCCAAAGCGGTGTAGCCTTGGTGACCTCCTGCAGGTATAGTGTCTGCAACATCTGAACGAACCTGGCCAAACAAAATATAATTTTTAATTACAGACAGTGAACTTGTGGTAGCACAATGACTACACACTTTCCTGTCTTCTTGAAGACTGAGTTTGAATTCTCATCTTTCTCTTACAGATTCCAGGGTTCTGTTGAGGGGAAAATGAGAATAGATCCACTGCTTCCCTAACTAGATGCCGCATGAGTTTGTCTATTTAGGGGATTCATTGAAGTTGGAGTACATCTGCTTGATAGGCAAGGAACCAACAGTCTACAACAGTGTTTCCCAAACTTGTCTTAGTCAGGGTACCTTTTTGCAATTAAAATTTTTCCACAGTACCCTAACCTAAGTGAAAGTATGATTATTCACATGTAAAATATTTTTTTAATTGTATATCTTCGAATTGTTCACGGCGCCCCTGTGAAGAGGTCACGGCTTCCCAGTTTGGGAATCACTGGTCTACACATAAATAAGCCAGATCTGTATATCGGATGTGTACAGAAGTCCTGGAACAAGTACAAAGTCAACAAGCAGATGAACAACCGGGACTTTATGCCAGAATTTACAGCCGGTGAACACAAAGAGAATAGAATTCTTCTGAAAATGATACAGTCATTTACCCAACATGTCTACTCTTCAAAAGGTGCGGTAGTCATGTAATTTATTGCTCAGGTCAGAGTGAGAACAGCAAATAGACATTGGTGCTTCTTCCTAAGCTAAAAGTAGCGTGACCCCTGAGATAATGACAGCAATTATAGAAACAGACGCCTCGCGAGATGACAGGATGCTGACAAATATTTTATTCACTCCACAACACCTTTACATAGTTGCTTCCGTGATCCATGGTGTGTGGAGTACCCTCCTCTCTACTAGTGTTGTGTACACAGTTCTTGTCAAGAAAGGCCCATGGCTAGAAAGTCGATCTGTTTGTTTTGTGCACGTTGTTCTGCTTACCCATTTCATTGAGCTTTTTGGTCACAGTTTACTGGATTAAGCTCCTGAAGTGTGGGGGGAGGGGAGGGGCTGCATAGTCTCGAGGCATAGTGTCTGCCTCCAGTGCTAGAGGTCCCAGGTTCAAGCCCCGGTGAGGGCAGGGATTTTTTTATGTGGACTTCTAGTAATTTCCCCAGGTCTCTGGGTAGTAAGACTGGAAGCCCCTGCATATTGTTGCGTCTGTAAAAAACCCTTGGTATTTGAAAATCAAAGAGGGTAGCCTGACAGCGCTGCCCGGGCAAAATTTGGAGTAAAAAATCTACCCACAGTATTTCAGGATCCTTATCAGTGCAAAAGAGTTTGTGCACTGCACAACTTCTTCAAAGGCTTGAGTTGGAAGAAGAGCAGAGCACTAATGGGTTACAGCTTTGTTACAGGATGTTGATCCTTTGAATAAACATAAACATAAACATTTCTTGACAGACATAATAGAGAAAGCAGACTAGCGAACAAAAACGAGAAGAAGAAGAAGAAAAAGAAGAACAAGAACAAGAAGAAGAAACAGTAACATAAATTTGGCTAAATCACAGACTCAAGGGCAGATCATCTTGGTGGTTTTCTTTTTCTTATGTGTTTGCCCTTAAATAAGTGGTTTCTTTATTCAACATTTATTTTGTTTGTTTGATTTGGCCCAACAGATCTGATTTCAGCAGATCTTTATTATTCACCTTTTTTAAAAGGCTTGTTAGGAAGCCAGTGGGTTTACCCCCCTCCAATCCCCATTCCCCCCCCCCCCCACCCCACACCCGGCACCTGGAAACGGACACAGGGATCTTAATGGTGATTGTTTAATAGTCCTCACTTTGTGGATACATTTTACCAAACAAAGCCAAAATTTCAGATAATTAAATTGAAAGAAATGAATTACTTACAGTATGCAGAATTGACCTGGCCCGATGCTTATCATTCTCAAATATCAGGCTGCTCAGAGAGTATTCTTCTCCTAAAGGTGTCTGGCTGTCTGTTAGGACCCTGGATGAAATCGTTAAATGTAAAATTAGAACTTAATTTGACCCATGCAGATATAAAATTTTGGGATGTGGTTTTGTCTGTCTTAGCATCCCCTTATGGACATGCATCTGTGTAAGAAACATTGAGATAGTGTGGCCTAGTGTGTGGGAGACTGAGATGGTTTACATAGCCAAATGTGTGGGAGACTGAGATGGTTTACATAGCCAAGTGTGTGGGAGATTGAGATGGTTTACATAGCCAATAGTGTGGGAGACTGAGATGGTTTACATAGCCAAGTGTGTGGAAGACTGAGATGGTTTACATAGCCAAGTGTGTGGGAGACTGAGATGGTTTACATAGCCAAGTGTGTGGGAGACTGAGATGGTTTAGATGGTCATGTGTGTGGGAGATTAGAAAGGTTTAGATGTTAAAACAGTGTGTGAGAGAGAGATGGTTTAGATAGCCAAGTGTGTGGGAGACTGAGATGGTTTGGATGGTCAAGTGTGTGGGAGACTGGGATGGTTTAGTGTGGTGGCCACATGTGTGGGAGACTATGGTATAGCTGGCAAAGTAATCTTTGTGGGAGATTGCCAAGTGTGTGGGAGACTATGGTATAGCTGGCAAAGTAATGTTTGTGGGATATGGCCAAGTGTGTGGGAGACTATGGTATAGCTGGCAAAGTAATCTTTGTGGGAGACAGCCAAGTGTGTGGGAGGCTGAGATGGTATAGATAGCCAAGTGTGTGGGAGACTATGGCAAAGATGGTCTTCTCCCTACCTTTTGACACAGTCAAGGGCAATAAGCCTGTCGTTGTGAATGCTGACAGCTTCAACGATAGACCGAGCCTCTCTCGATGTCATCAGACATAATCTCTGAAATCACAAACATGTGATCACAATAAGACAAATGAAATGTAGTAATTTCATGCAAACTTTCCTCAACTGATTAGTTCTGTCCCCCTTGCTAATAACAATACTGGTCTTCCTCAATGCAGTTTAGGTCCTCAACCAACAGTAAAAGTAAAGTAAAGTTCCCTTTTCACGCCTTTCGGCGCATCGGGCATATGGGCAGAGCGTCCCATATTTTTACAGACCATCAGCACTCTGTGGGTAATGTGGTCAGCATTACGCCGGCTGTCTTTACTTTCCCAGGACAGCCCATCCTGGTACCCATTTTAGGCTGGGTCGACCTGCGATGTCCCATACCACGATAAAAATCCACGCAGCGCACGCAGGTTTCGATCGCGGTACGTCGGATTACGAGTCAGACTCGCAACGCCTTAGCCACGGACGCTCAACCAACAGACACCATCTTTATTTTTGTAACTTCCCTCTCTAGTGCAATCTTTCCTTACGTCCTTTTCAGGACGTAATTTTTTCTTATTTGAAGCCCCACTCTGGCTTTTGCCAGGGGCCGTAATATAGGCAGGCCATCAATATGGCCAATTGTCTGAACGCGGTTTCTGGGACCTCTCCACGGCGATCCTCATCCACATGGTGGCACTTTGTGTCATCGGTTGTTTATCGCTTGTGTGATGTCCTGGTGGGGTAGAAAGTCAGTCAGTCAGTCCCTCTCTAGTTCCCTTATTGGAGTTCTGTTTGTCGAAAGCTTTCATTATTTTAGTTGAATTAAGAACTGACATTGTAACACTCAGGACATTCCCACATGCACTTTATCCCCATCTTCAGCAGCCAGCACAGAGTTCCAGTTCCAGTTCCAGTTCCAATGTAGTACCAGTTGCAGTCTGATTGAATAATCATCTGTTTTTGCCTCCTCAGTATTAATTTTTTATTATCTTCCATTTTTTATATCTTTTGATGGATGTATAAACCCTCAATCACTTCATGTTCCATAATGTTATTTTACTACTGCATGCAGCTCACCCCATGACTTTCCAATTTTTTAAACTTCACTCTCTAGTTTACGCTCGCGCGTGGATCGCAAAGTTGTGGGTTCGCTCCCTGGCGGAGCCAGACTTTTTTCAAAAATGACCTTGACTGTCAGGTTGACCTAGCCTTGAATGGGTACCGGGTGCAGTCCCGGGAAGTAAAGGCTGCTGGTGTGATGCTGACCACATCATCCATCTTGTGCCGATTGGTCTATAAAAATATAGGTCTAGCCCTATATGCCTAAAGGCCTGGTAAAGGGACCTTTACTTTTTTACTTACTCTCTAGTTTTCTATCCATGTATATTTAAAAACCAACACCTTGTATTTCTCTGACAGTGTAGGTTTCAGTGCAGGGCATTCTAATTATTTTATTATCAGGTTTTTATCTGTGTGTATTCTAACCCATGCTAGCATCTTTTCCTCACAATTTCATTCACTATAATTGGTTTACTTATCTCTCAAAGCTCCACATTTTCTATTCTAGTAATTAAGTCAGAGTAATTAACAACGATAGCTTGAAAGAAGGTAATGAAAGTAGATTTCTATCTACAGCAATAGGAAAAAGACAAACACTGTTCTTTGGCCACTTAATGAGAAGAGAGACATTGGAGAACATCATGACAACTGGAAAGATCAGTGGAAAAGGGGTAGAGGCAGACCAAGAGAGATGATGCTGGATGGGCTGAAATGATAGCATGGAGGGATATTAAGAGAGCTGTTCCAGGCAACCAGGGATCATGATCAGTGGAGATGCATAAGCGCTTACGCCAGTTGGTAGGGCACATGATGATGATGAGTCATTAGGTAATCACAATTTAAACATCACAGTAAATGGGTCACTCCCATAGTTGCTCCATTCCTGTGTTAAGGAAAACACACAGAATGTCTATCACTGTCCCTTGTTTTAAGCCAATAGCATAGGTAAAAAGTAAACAGAAGCAGCGGGCCATCAGAAGTGCCAGCGCAAACCATCCGGCAATTCAAATGCAGTTTATCGCTGATGGAAACAGAATTTGTAACAGATCAGTAGTCATACATGCAATTAATCATAAAAGGCACCACCATGTTTCTAGCAACAGGTCACTCACCATTTTCTCAATCTGCAGTTCACAACACAAACCATGTTTGGGCACACGAGAAAAGTATTACAGATAAAGGAAAAAGTAGCAAAAAGCTGAGAAGGAGCAGAAGAAGCAGAAAAATAAATTGTGAATACTCACTGGCTCCAATATTCTCAGGGCAATTACTTTATCAGCCGGCCGAGGTAGTTCATACAGAATTCTGGCTGCCTGAAATGTCAGTGAAGAAATCCACTTCAGCATCAAATCTCTTTAAAACTTACTTATTTACTTATTTAGTCCAACCTCTTCTACCTTGTGATGTAGAGGTTTGCCAGAAAGATCACCAGATTTGTTTGTCAGGAGTTTTCTTTTTGGCTTTGTTCCATTCCAGTCCTCTGTCAGTAAGAGACTGTGAGATGTCTTCCCAGCAAACCCTGGGTCATCCTGGAGGTCTGGTTCTTCCATGCCTGCCATGGTGGCCTATTCTCTCCGTTTCTGCCTATATGTAGAAACAATTGTAACTGACTGACACACTCGAGATTGTAAGGACTGGGAAATGAGCAGCCAGATAGATTTTCTGGTTCTGCACGACTTGGTGGTGAAAGATATATGACAAGCTAGATGTTGTCAGGGCCCTTTGGAAGCTAGTGAACTGTGCAAAGGCACTGATAATTACGATCTAAGGACAATGGCGCTGCAGAGAGTACCAGGGAATATTGCCAACACTGAAAGGGAAAGACAAGAAAGATGTACAATCAGCTACTGATATCATCGGAAGTGGAACTCTTCACTGGCTGCTGAAAATGGGAGAATGGAGAGCTTATGGGAGTGTCCCGAGTGCTGTGGTGTCGATTCTTATTTACAACTACTAATAATATATCATTTTTTTGGGCGGGGGGAGGGGGTCAGAGTCTGCCAGTTGGGATCTTCTTAAGATGCTCACAGAGTTTGTTAAGACTAATTGTCAGATCTGCAACCTTGCTTCTGGGGTACATTACATAAATGGCCCCTAATTCTACTGCTAATGTTACCACCACTACTGCTACTATTACTACAACTACCGCTACTGACACTAATGCTAGTACTCTTGCTACCATTACTACTACTAGCACTACTACTACTAGCACTACTACTACTGCTGCTACTACAACTTATATTAATAATAATAACAATAATAATATATTACCTGTTCTGCATTGAAACAGCCACGAGACCTTGACAGAATCAGTATCTTCTTTTCATGAGAATCAGTCTCCTATATTAGATAAAATTAGAATCAGATGCTGAGATTTGAAAGCTGATGTATTTTTTAATTTATATGTTACAATATCCCACCTGACCCAGTCTTGAGTGGGTACCATGTACAGTCCTGGGAAGTAAAGGTGGCCGGCATTATGACCACATTATGCACCAAGTTCCAACTGGTCTATACAAATATAGCTCTAGCCCTATATTCCTAAGATGCCTAAACTAGGAGGGTAAGTTCTAGATGTTCGAAAAGAGAACATAACTACCTGTGAAATGTGCTGTCCATGTAAGGTCATTAACAACACTAGAAGGGGCAGGATTATGAATACCAGCATTAGACAGAAAGAATAAGACAGACCTTTTCTGAATTGTAATTGATAGACAAAGAATGAAATAAATTAAATGGTTTGATCACCGAGTGAGAATGCAGCCAAACCAAACTCATCTTTAAGGTAGGTAGGTAGTTGTACCCCCACACAAGTGATAAACAGCCGGCAACACAAAGTGCAACCATGCGGATGAGGATAACCATATTTATGGCCCGGCTATATTCAAGGCCCCCGGCAAAAGCCAGGGTGTGGCTTCAAAAAAAAAAAAACTGCATCTCACATGGGACGACAAAAATAAAACTCATCTGTGAATAGTAAATAACATTTTCTACAGCATAACATTTCGGAGAAAGTTGGGTAAAACTAAGGAACAAATGGATAAAAAATGTAGCTGAAAACCAGCAAAAGTAAAAGGATGAACAAATCCATCTCCCGACAAGCGTAAGACAATACAGAAAACCACGAGGCTTGACACTGGGCTACAACCTGGCTATATCAATAATATGATGACGACAACAGAAGAAGATCCAACTCGTCTCCGTTTACAGGAGCAGGTTATGAACCTTGAGTCTGGCGCCTTAGACCACTCGGCCATCCGGAAACGGCCGCGTTAGCGCAGTCGATAAGAGGCTCGTTTTCAATTCCAGCTGCGCCTCGCTACAGCCTACAGTCGGTGTTTGAAACCTGGCGATTCCCGGGGTTCACCCAGCCTCTAGGAAATGGGTACCAGAGCTGACACTCTAGGGTAAATGGAGGAACGTCGCTGTAGCTTTAGAGTAACGTGCGAACGGCGACACAGGCGGGCAATTCTTATCAGCTGTCCGTACTGCTGGCAAACCGTGTGCAATGACGCTGGTTCACATCTCCCGACTTTACCTTTTTAAGATCCAACTTTTTAAAATCAGGGTAGCAAAATTTCACCCTGATTGTGTACCTGGCGGATTTTGCAGACAAGATTTTCAAAATCGCTCGCATCTAACGGCTTCTTGGTCATTTTCATAGACAGGAACAGTTCTATAAAGTAAACAACCGAGTCACACAACTGTCTAAGGTGTTGTTAACTACCAATGGCTTCCCTAGCAACTGACTTTACACAGGAACCGGAAGTGCAATTAAGTATTTCTGGATTGGCATAGAATTGATATCACCAATCCCCCCAAAAGGGCAGTAAAGCAGGAAATAAAAGGATTGAGGGAGCGAGGACGCCAAAAAAGAAACCCTTCAACGAACGTTGATGATAGAGGTCAAAGGTGCTGGATCGGATTCCATCAGGATATTGAATAAAGTGCATAGTATGGCACGGAATGGAGGAATAGACTTCGAGTCCTATGTTTTTTAGATTCCCGTCGCTAGCTCTTAGCCAGCTGCTCCTTTGATTGTGAAATGTCTACCCCCCCCCCCGACTTTTCCACTGCCAGCTGCCGATCAATTTTTAACATCCATTAAATGCACATGTCCTGTGGGTTTTTCGTTGTTCAGAGAGATGTTTTCCCATTGTAAAATTGAAGACACGGATAATAAACTAGTAGTAGTAGTATTAGTAATAGGCTACAGACGGATGGGAGTCGTGGACTATCTCCCAGTCCTTAAGAAAGAGAATATGGGCTTTTGAGCTGAAATGCTATAGAAAGATTCTCAGAATATCTTGGACAAAGAAGAGGAGGAGAAATACTGACATCTTGAAAGATCTGAACATTAAGGAAAATTGGCTAATAAACAGCATCCTGTCTCACGACGGATTGGAAAAAATTATAGCAGAAGGCATGGTACCATGAAGGCGGGGCAGGGGCCGACCAACGCGAAGATGGACACAGGATATAAGTGACTCCTTGAGTATGAAAGTATATGAGACAGAGTTTCTTTCAGGCAGACTGTAATAAGAGTGACATTCTGCAAAGGACCTGCTACGTGATGATGAGCAGCAGCAGCAGGAGTAGTAGTAGTAATAGTAGTAGTAGTAGTAGTAGTAGTAGTAGTAGTAGTAGTAGTAGTAGTAGTAGTAGTAGTAGTAGTAGTAGTAGTAGTAGTAGTAGTAGTAGTAGTAGTAGTAGTAGTAGTAGCAGTAGTAGTAATAGTAGTAGTAGTAGTAGTATTGGCGCCTTTTTTTGGGTGAGTATTGGCGCCCTTTTTTTATGTTCATAGGGGTGAATACCGACACCTTTTTTTTAAAGGTATATTGTGGTGAGAACCGGCACATTTTTAACTGGCAACTTTTTACTTTAGCTTAAGTACCGGCAACACCGCTAAGGCCGGTCCCAAGCCCGGCTGTAAAAAGAGAAGGGTCTGGCTGAACCTGAGTGCTTCATGCGTCTCCGGAAGTAGGGGAAAACCATGAATCAGCCAGATGGCCTGCATGGAGACCGTAAGGAGGCAGCCCCTCCACTATACAAAGGCACAACAGGCCAATCACCTGTTTGCCTTAAACTATAATTACAAGTTACTACAGAGAGAAAACCGGACGGATCTTAACGGCGACGAACTGGCATGGCTTACGGACTTCGATTTACGGAACAGGGAACATACGAGGCATTAACAGGAAGGAAAACGAGTTAGTAGAGGAGATGAGGAAAGCAAAAGTAGGAATCTTGGCTCTGACTAAAATCAAGAAAGAGGGCAGGAAATCAGAGATCACGATGGAAGTAGGCTGCTCTACAGTGGTGTCCCTACTACGGAGAGAAGCAAAGGGAGGTATTGGCTGTATTGTAGCCAGGAATCAAGTTGGTAATATCAAGGGATGGAAATTCATCTCAGGGTGAATTATAGTGTTAGATCTGGAGAAAAAAAAAGATAAAACTGCCAATACTGTTGTTGTGTACGGACCAAATAAATAAGAGCGAGTAGATGTCAAAGAAGAATTCTTTTAACTGCTCCAAAAGACTACAGATGATAGTGAAGCGACCTAGTCACTTTGCCATGGAGACCAACAAAATATGGATCTAGAACAAGAGAGTCAGAATGCTAAATGACACTGAAATGTCAGTCAGCCATGCCACAGGTGAAAGGAGGCATTGTGTTGTATACAAACATTATTGTAACCATGATAGCGTATACTGTGCTATATGTAAACATGACAGGACATTACTGTGCTATATAGAAACATGACAGGACACACTGTGCTATACAGAAACATCAATGTAAACATGACAGCACACCACTGTGCTATATAGAAACATTAATGTGAACATGACAGCACAGCACTGTGCTATATAGAAACATTAATGTGAACATGACAGGACACACTGTGCTATACAGAAACAATAATGTAAACATAACAGGACACACTGTGCTATATGGAAACATTAATGCAAAAATGACAGGATAAAACAGTGCTTTATATAAACATTAATGTAAACCTGACAGGACACTACTGTGCTATACAGAAATATTAATGTAAACATGACAAGGCAAACTGTGCTACATAGAAACATTAATGTAAACATGACAGGACACCAATGTGCTATACAGAAACATTGATGTAAACATGACAAGGCAAACTGTGCTACATAGAAACATTAATGTAAACATGACAGGACACCAATGTGCTATACAGAAACATTGATGTAAACATGACAAGGCAAACTGTGCTACATAGAAACATTAATGTAAACATGACAGGACACCACTGTGCTATATAGAATCATGACAGGACACCGCTGTGCTATACAGAAACATGACAGGACACACTGTGCTATACAGAAATAATAATGTAAACATGACAGGACACACTGTGCTATACACACACAAAACAAGGCTAGCAGAAATGACTAGACATACTGTGCTATATGGAAACATTAATGTAAACATGACAGGACACCACTGTGTTATCCAGAAACATTAATGTAAACATGATAGGACACACTTCTATTCAGAAACATTAATGTAAACATGACAGGACACCACTGTGCTATATAGAATCATGACAGGACACCACTGTGCTATACAGAAACATGACAGGACACACTGTGCTATACAGAAACAATAATGTAAACATGACAGGACACACTGTGCTATACAAAAACAATAAGAGTAACAGAGATGACTAGACATACTGTGCTATATGGAAACATTAATGTAAACATGATAGGACACCACTGTGTTATCCAGAAACATTATTGTAAACATGATAGGACACACTGCTATACAGAAACATTAATGTAAACCTGACAGGACACCACTGTGTTATATAGAAACAATGTAAACATGACAGGACACCGCTGTGCTATAAAGAAACAACTTAAGGGTAACAGAGATGACTAGACACACTGTGCTATAGAGAAACAAATTCAGGGTAACAGAGATGACTAGACACACTGTGCTATATAGAAACAACTTAAGGGTAACAGAGATGACTAGACACACTGTGCTATATAGAAACAAATGTAATGATAACAGGGATGACAGAACACACTTTGCTATACAGAAACAACTGCACAACAACATCCCTTTTACAATGACATCAATCAAAGACAACCCATTGAAATACTGTAACTGATCTAATATGCTAATCACACAGCTTATGATACATGATTGGGAATACAAATTGTTATATCTAAAACATCATATTATAATTGTACACCTAAACAAAGATAGCTCTCCCTGTGTGGATTCCGGGGCCCTGTTATAGGGAAAACAAGAATAGACCTGCTGCCTAACCAAAAGCATGTAGTAAGAGTTGACTAATTGGGAGCTTCCTTCAAAGTCGAAATGCATTTGCCTGAGAGGCAAGGAACCAACAGTCTACTTACAAATGAGTCAGATCTGTCAAACGGACGCACACGCAACACTCAAGTTCTGGAACAGGACTGCAGTCCAGAAGTGGACCAACAACCAGAACTTTCTGCCAGAGTTTACAGCCGGTGTATGTGAAGAAGAAGAACAACAACAAGAGATAGCTCAAACAACTAAATTAGCTGCAATAAATAAGGGAAGTTATTTTTACAGCATAATTCTCATGCCTGTAATTATTTATAAATACAGACACAGATAATGCATACATACAGTTACGAACACACCCGCATTCATACATATCGGCCTAACACATCTGATTTACACAAACTCCCTACTTAGTCGCTTTTGGCAGGGTGCTTGTTAGGGAGACCAAGAATCTGTTCCCTTCCCCCAACCCTCAAATGGGGGCTCCAGAATCCACATGGGAAATTCACAAACCAACAGGCACTGTCACTCACACATCATCAAGGCCTTGCCCACTGGCATAGGCAATCATGCCTCTCCACAATCTGGATCCGCAACTGCGTGTATCAGTTCATGTGTTGGCACCCCTCCATGCCTTAACAAAAGATGTCAAGAATCTTCTCATACTGTCTTCCTGTCTTTCTTTCCACAGATCTTTCCAGTGGTCACAATATGTTCTATTTTCACACTTCTCATAACATGACCAAAAAATGATGACTGTCGCCTTCTGATGTTCATGATAAGTTATCTTTACGCATTTGCCTCTTTTAAAACATCTGGGTTGATCTTCTTAGCTGTCCAAGGAATTCTAAGAGTTCTTAATTAAAACCACATCTCCGAGGCCTCAAGATATTGTTCGGCTTGTTTATTAATTGTCCTGGCATCACAGCCGTATATTAAAACTGGCTCTATATAGCATGCAAGAATTCTTTTCCTAACCTCCAATGTGACATGGATTTATTGCATTCACACACAAGTAACAAAATAGTAGTTATTTTTCAACAGAAAATTTTATATGCTTGCAGTCAGGAATATTGCAATCTATGTTGTAAAAATTTGTGTTGAAATAATTTTTGCAGCAGTTATCTGAGCTGGAATCATCTTTGCTGCAAACATCTGTGTTGCAATCATCAGTGATGCAATTACCCATGTTGCAATCATCAGTGATGCAATTACCCATGTTACAATCATCAGTGATGCAATTACCCATGTTGCAATCATCAGTGATGCAATTACCCATGTTGCAATCATCAGTGATGCTATTGCCCATGTTGCAAACATCAGTGATGCAATTACCCATGT